ATTAAAGTACACAAAACAATAATTTTGCCTGTTGTTCTGTACGGGTGCAAAACATGGTCTCTCACTCTGAGGGATCAACACAGATTGCAGGTGTTGAGGAGTATATTTGGGCCTAGAGGAAAAGATGATGGGGCATGGAGAAAACTGCATAATGGTGAAATTAAAAATTTGTAATTCTCCCTCAGTATTGTCCGAGTGATAATGTGAAGAAGACTGAGATGGGCGGGTCATGTGGCACGCATTGATGGGTCATGAGATGTGTACCAGGTATTGGTTGTGACCCTGAGGGGAAGGGACCGCTGGGGAGACTTAGACCTACCTACATAGGACGATAATATTAAGCAGAATCTTTGGGACATAAAGAGTTCAAGGCGATTGGATTTTGCTGTTCCAGGACAGGGGCTGGTGGAGGGCTTTGGTTAATTCGGTGACGAACCATCGGATTCCCTAACCCATTCAGTTAGTTAGTTATATCTGCAATATAACCTAAATTTGTTGTTACTGATAAGGGCCACCACAGTTGTAAATCCTGCCATGCCCTTAATGGTACGTTTCTGTGGGTAGATATAACCTAGTTTTTGCCATCATACGGTAAGTGGTCAGTAATATGAACTTCATACTCACTAAAACTTTTACAAGCAGCATTGAATCAGCAGACAAACCTGTGCAAACTCGTAGATGGCTCCTTGAAAATTTCCAACTTGAAACGTTTTGCTCGCTTTTCTTGAGTAATAATAATGTAATTACCAGGAAACTTTTACTGAATTCATCAGCAACTAATTCGTCGGCAGAACACAGACACCATACATGTTTTTCATTTAAACCTTGAGGCATGCGACTTTAACTCTCACAAGTCTAGCAACCATGGACTCACAGAGCGTCAGAGAGTTTATAGTTATTTCAGACACATGAATACTACACCGAGGGGGGCACTACCTGCAGTCAACGATTAATAAAGCTACAGCCTCTTTTAGGGTTGTGACATTTAACCATTTCATTGACACAAAGTGTTTCTCCTATTTATAAATTGCTTATAAAATGTTATAATATATAGCGAATTTATCGGTTTGAATTCTCCTTCCGTAGATGTATTAGTCCACAATTACATGCAACAGAGCCCTTTTTGAGAAGCTGATTACTCACTCAGAAAATCAAGAAATTCCTCTTATTTATGAAAGTCGGAATGTTTACAAAAGCCAATTACTTTCCCTTTTCTTGAGTCACATAAATCCAGTTAATATCCCCACACATTCTTTGTAACCTACATGCAAATATTATCAACACATCTATGTCGAGGTTGTCCGGCGGCAGATTGAATTGATCTAACTGGATCAAACGAAAATTAAAAATTAATTAAAAGATCAGTTGCAAAACATAAACATTTTAAAACAAGGTCCTAATACAACGATATTATTTAGCACATTAACATAAACCAAGTGTTGCTTTAGCCTGACGTTTACGAGAGTAGAACGTCATTACTGTGCATTGAAAATTTTTAAAAATAGCTGGTACATACTGCATTAAATTTTATACAACATTCTGTTTGTTGTTAGTAAAATCCATAAAAATTTAAGGTGTGCACGTCTGTAACTAAACTTATGCATTTGTTACGTCTGAGTGTTTTTGTTTCATTTTGCAGATTATCAGCGGTTTTGATTGCCCAGGAAAATACATATCTCAAGCATAAATTAAACCACATACTGGAACATTACTGATACAAAAGTAGTGTTAGATACTTCACTAAAGACTGATTCTGTTAAAATTCTGGAGTAATCTCAGAATCTGTTTGCAGCAGTAGGGCTAATTTAGAAGAATTTTAAGCTGGCAGTGATGGTGATTCAATAAACTATCCTTCGCGAAAACCAATCACTTTATACATTTACAATTACACAAAACTACTGACTGTATGTTTTCACGTAGAAAATAATTTTCTTAAAAACAACAAAAATCACCATCCATACTATGACGATATATTCTTGAATCTGACGAGAGACTGCACGTACACTTCTGTGAGACTTTGAGACTCCGAGTTTGACGACATATGAGAATGTAAGAGTTAATGACATCTGAGAATGGTAACAGGGTAACAAATACAATTTTGTATATTTTCCTTTATTATTCCACTTGATAAAATGTTTGCTGTACTGCTCCTTGTCTATAGATACACCACACAATTACTTGTTTCACAAAATTACATTATAAATTATTCACATTTTAAACTCTTCAAATACAAAGACAAAACGAAATGAATTAGATGTACATCTGCAAACACGTTTTTCTATAATATACATTCATATATTGGTTAATATGAAAATGTTACAAATACAACTACAAGAAAAAAAGTGTAGTGCGGTTTGAACATGATTATGAAAAATAAGGATCCCAAGGACAACAGTCAAGGTGAAAAGATATAGGAAAAGAACAGATAATAAGGCCAAATAGCAGACGAAGGAATATGATGAAAAGCACACTCAATTCAAAGAGTCAATATTTTTTCTTCATTTGCATTTGCCTCGCATCGCAGGTTCTGCGTTTTTACCTCTCTTGGCGGTTTACGGCTGATCTGTTTTTGGACTTTGGTAGAACTCCTTGCATGAGTGTTCAGCCCTACTGCAAAGCTTCTACATATACCAACACAGAACGACGCGGAAAAACATCCATGCCTCGAGTGGGACTCGAACCCAATGTCGAGAGCGGCCAGGCGCACGAGTTCCATGCCTCAGACCGCGTGTCCAATGCGCAGGCTAAAGAGTCAAAAATGTTAATGAAGAATATTTATGAGAAGAGAGAAATAATACTTTTTAAATTACTATAATTATCACACACAATGAAACGTAGCTCTACAGTTGTCCGTGCATTTAAAAAATGTCAACAGCACAACAAAACAAATCCGATGCTCAGCGTCCTTTTTCTTCTGCAACGGTGTTGTGCATTATGAGTACATTCCCACAAGGCCCGACTATTAATAAACATTTCTACTTGCAAATCCTGAGACATCTTCAAGTCCTCATGATGCAGTGTCATAAACCTCTGTTGTGCACCCTGTATGTTTCAGTTACACATCCTACCACACAGTTAATACAGCCTCGCTACTCGCCAGTTACAGCTATCTGTGACTTTTCCCATTTCCTAAGTTTAAAACACCTTGAAAGGAAAACAAAACATAAATTGACATGCAAACAACAGCACACGGTGTTTTTGTTCTGGTTGGTAACATTAGTAACACCGAGTGGACTTGTAAGTGGATATCAACATTTTACAGAAAGGTTCATATCTTCCTACACGTCCGGACGGCATCACAACCCAGACGAACATCGGTATCTTTACTGAAGTGAGTGCTTTGAACACTTACCGGAACAAGTGGGTACATGCCGAAGGAGTCTACAGTCTGTTAGTACGAGCACAGGTTCACGCCCAGTAATTTTTAACCAGATGTTTCTTACAACAAATATAAAGGAAAATAACAAGGCTGAAAATTTTTTGCAAAGGAAGGGAGAACAAAACAGTAAAGAACAAGATCTTGCTGCTGTTACATTTTTTGAATTATTGTTCGATGCGTAGAAAAACTTCAATTTTCATTTCCATTTTAAATAGTTTGACAGTGAGAAATACTGCCGTATACAAATTACATTTGTCTTGCCTTCAAATGACGACTCCTGAGAAATATGGAAATTTCATTACATTAATTACGTTATTTTTCAATGTGTCTGACCACAGCAATTATTTCTATCCATAGTAACTCTCCAAACTAAAAGTATCATTCATGTAAGTTGACTGTAATATTAAATATAAGATTCTTCTTCTTCCTTGGCTCTACAATCAAGTTGTCGGTCTACGCCACCTCCTTTTTCAGAGGTTTCCCAGTCTTTGAAATGTGCATTTGTGGGTAGTGAGACCAGTTCTCTGCCTCTGCACAATTTCTATTCATTTCTGATTTGACTGCTAGAGCCATCTAGTAGTAAATCAGCAGAGACAGGTGAGAAATTGCCGCTGAATTTTGCTTATGAAACATCTCATTCATGCTCATAATGTTCTTTCACATGCAGCGAATCTACAACTTGGGACCATTGGCTTTACTTAAACTCTGAAGGAAGTTGTTGTACTACGCATTTTTATCAACCTTAAAAATCCATCGACCTCAGCCGGGTTTCAATCCACGTACCTTGGGTCCAGTGACGAGCAAGCTAACCACTAATTCACCGAGGGCGACATTAGGTATAAGATACAATTGTAAATAAAAGATGAAGTGACCTTACGTACACATATTTGAAGAACCACAATATAATTCTTTTACCTCGTTCTGTTATAAAGAGCAACTGGCACACAGTTTGCATATAGTTTCGAAATACCGATGTATAAAGCGTACTGAAATATAAGGACAAAGTTCAGTTCAGTATATCTGCATTCAAACAATAAAATATTAAACAGCAACTCTATGAAAATAGAGTAGCGTTTGTTTCATAGCACACGACAATGTTTCGGGTAATATTAAATTGCAGTACATTGAAGAAATTTATACACATCTTTGTGAAAAATATTTTTTATAACCTAAATATTAATATACAAGCAATTCTGACATTACAGGCAATGTTCTTGTTCATAATTCTAGTGCAGAATACACATTCTGATTCTCAATAAATGCTCTCCATCTGCAAATTCAAAATACACTACTCAAACTCCATTACCAATTCACTGGCATGGTATGGTACATTATATTTAAATCAAAATTCAATATCTTCATTTGATCCCTCAACATCAACACTTCTTCCTTCTCCACATTCCAACAGAAAAGATCCCCTAACTTCTGCAAATGAGGAGCACGGCTGATTATCTTGTTAACAGATGACATCGACAGATCAATGACTGCCGAATTACTCTTTGCGCCAGGCAAAGCAATCATCAATTCTTTTAGCACTGCTGTGTTTACAGATGATAACAACTCATTCATCCAAACATCTGATATTGAGGAATAATTTACAAAAATCATTAGCTCTTCAAGCCTGTCTGTATTACGTAATATGCACTGTACAACTCTCACAGGAAATTCAGACACATGCCGTGGTTCTTTCCCAGTAAAAAAACACAGCGATTCAAGTTTAAAGAATTTGCATTTGCTGAGCGCGTCGTCATGTTCCAGTTCCAAATGACACAGTTCTAGCCTCTCGCATTTCAGATACAGATGTTTTAAGTTAGAGCAATTTTCCCCAAGCATTATAATTTGCTTCTCGTGAAGGACGTCACAAGTTATTTTGAGGCTGCCGAGCTGTGCGCCTCGAACACGGAGGAAGTACTCTGTACCTTCCCCTGGAGACGCCGGTCTCTTAATTTTATAGGTCAGTTCCAGTGAAGTGAGAGACTTGAACTGTTCAAGTTTAGGAACATCCTCATCTGCTACATGGACTTTAAGATCATACAAGTGTGGACAAAGCGTACATACGACATCGACCACTGTTTTGTCAAATCGCATGTAACTTCGATCAAGGTGTATACTCGTATTTTCAACATGTGTAAGTTTAAGACGCTCTTTCAAAGGCCTGCCGTATCTGGTAATCTGCTTATGCAACTCCAGAAGACATAAAACCATTTTCTCGTATCCAATTAAACGAATGTTGGGCAATGACCTCAGAATATTAGCCACTCCTATCTCACAAACATGACAATTATAAACAAATATTTCTTCTAAGAGAGGACACCCTGGATTTTCTGAGCATGGAACAAGACACCGCAGGCCTCCATTACTAACAAATTTATTATAAGAAACATTTAATGACTTTAGTTGTGGGCAGTTCTTTCCAATTAGCTCCAAAGTGTGATTAGTACATAATTGTAGGTCACTGCGATTTCCATGAATTTTAAAATAAATCTTCACCAACCTTCCAAGCGAGTGTAATTCTATAGCCATAACATCTTCACATCCTTTCATGATATATATAAGGTATTTTAAATTTGAGAGATCTAAAACATTTAACCGCGGCAGAATTATATAGTCATGGAAGTCGATCGTACGCATATAACCATGACGTCGATATCTCTTAACGAATGACTCGATCATTTGTGAAATTAAGCTGTCGGCAACCACAGAAGGAATATGCGATGACAGGAATCTCTGCACTTCCAGTCCAAAATTTTTTAGTTCTTGCCAATTAGTGGTCTCCCATGCATTTAAGAACCAGTCTGTGAACGCTTTTAGGCATATTTTGATTAACGAAGGTGGTTGTTTCTTACGTGGCATTTTTTCTATTATCAATATATTTATCACGAGTTCTAAAAATTCGTCTACTAGTTAGCAACTTTTGACAAAAAATTGAGTATGGGTTTAGCGGTTCTTTCCCAGTAAAAAAACACAGTGATTCAAGTTTAAAGAATTTGCTTTTGCTGAGCGTGTCGTCATGTTCCAGTTCCAAATCACACAGTTCTAGCCTCTTGCATTTCAGATACAGATGTTTTAAGTTAGAGCAATTTTCCCGAAGCATTATAATATGCATCTCGTGTAGGACGTCACAAGTTATTGCTAGGCTGCGGAGCTGTGCGCCTCGAACACGGAGGAAGTATTCTGTACCTTCCCCTGGAGACGCCGGTCTCTGAATTTTATAGGTCAGTTCCAGTGAAGTGAGAGACTTGAACTGTTCAAGTGTCGGAACATCCGAATCTGCTACATGGACTTTAAGATGATACAAGTGTGGACAAAGTGTACATACGACACCGACCACTCTTTTGTTAAAACGCATGCGACTTCGTTTAAAGTTTCTACTCCTATTTTCAACATGTGTAAGTTTAAGGCGCTCTTTCAAAGGACTGCCGTCTCTGGTCATCTGCTCATACAACTCCAGAAGACATAAAACCATTTTCTCGTATCCAATTAAACGAATGTTGGGCAATGACCTCAGAATATTAGTCACCCCTATCTCAGAAACAGTACATTTATAAACAAATATTTCTTCTAAGAGAGGGCACCCTGGACTTTCTGAACATGGAACAAGATACTGCAGGCCATCATTACGAACAAGTCTATTATAAGAAACATTTAATGACTTTAGTTGTGGGCAGTTCTTTCCAATTAGCTTCAAAATCCGATCAGTACATAATGGTATGTGATTGTCTTTTCCATCAGTTTGCAAAGATATCTTCACCAACCTTCCAACTGAGTGGAATGCTGAAGCAATAACATACTCAAAGAATCCTTCGGTATTAACGTCAAGGTTTCTGAATTCTGAGAGATCTATAACATTTAACTGTGGCAGCATTATATAGTGAAGGAAGACGCTCATATGCATATCGGGATTACATTCATTTCTCTGAACGTACGTCTCGACCAGTTGTGAAATTAAGCTGTCGGCAACCACAGAAGGAACACGCGATGACAGGAATCTGTGCACTTCCAGTCCAAAATTTTCTTTTACTCGCCGACTACCAGTCAGCCATGCTTTTAAGAACCAGTCTGCAAACGCTCGTAGACATATTTTGAATAACGAAGGTGGTGGTTTCTTACGTGGCATTTTTACTGTTATGGATATATTTCTCACCAATTCCAAAAATTCGTCTACAAGTTACTTATTTTTGACTAAAAATTGAGTATGGGTTTGAGAGAGTCCAGTGTTAACGTCTCTGCCAGATGGCGTGATGTGTCACGTTTGTGGTGAACTTTCACAAAAAATATATCCTGAAGAGTAAAATTAGACAAGAAAATGTACCTGAATTAACAGTGAGGAGTTTGGTCACCCTAGGCCAGAATCACAGCTAAATATTTTACAGTATTAAGCGCTGTCGGTTCAGCTCAGTTCCATCATTTGAAAGTTTCTTCACTAATTTTTATACAACTTTACTTCAACTGTTGATATTATAGTTGACGTTCACAAATCTTACTAAAGCTTATCAACTTTTTAGTATAAAACAAATTTATTTAATGTTAATTTCTGTGCAGCGAACTCTGTATATTTAACTTTCACATATTTTAAGTTACGCATATCTTAATCCGGCCACACTTCAGATATAAACACTTTCACTTTCACTTACTTACTGTGCTTATTCTCATATTATAAAAGATCTTACACTTCTGAATTTGTTCCATCTCACTTCTGTTGTAAGTGACATTTCGTGCAGCGTCAAGTTTCGGTATGTGGATATCAACTTTGTGGCTTCGCAGCCCTCGTCATGGCACAGTCTGCAGTTACATGGCCATTTCTATAACGTGAGAGCACTCCTCACAAGCAAACACATTCTGAAATAAAGTGCGACAATTTCGGTTCACATACATAAAATTTCAAACAAGAATTCCTGCAGAACCCTTTTCCATGAAAAAAATTTAAACAATTGATTTCCTCTGAATTTAATCCCATTCACTCTGATCTAATAATTGTTCTGGTGCAACACAGTCACAACAATCAGTTTGGGATCTCACAGCTTTAGTATTAGGGCCTAATATAAAATGTATTTCTCATTAAACAATTAAATGATTTAAAAAATGAAGTGATATCAAAAGTGTGATCAGGTTTGAATCTGTGACATTAGATTTCTGTCTCCAATAAATCATTATCTAAGTAAAAATCACATAAATAAATTTCAGAAATAGCCATACCCCATTATAGAAGGAGTAAATTGATAACAATTCTTTTTCTTTCTCTTGGTATTAGGAATTAACAAATTATGAGATCCCACCTCTGGA